ATATTTGTATATTCATATATTTTTAAAACTTATTAGAATTGCAGGGGTATAATAGAAAAGTACTAAAAAAGCTTTTATAGTAGCCAGTAGTCCAATAAAATAAAAAAAACTGAAACCTTATGTTTCTTTTCATACTATTGTAGCGTAAGGATGCCTTAGCAATATTAAATAACTTATACAATATTAAATACAGTTAATTTCTGCGAAGAGGTTTGGCTCCCCTGTACCCTCTTAGATCTAGTTCTACTTTTTCAACATGGAAGAATACAATTATTAAATCCTGAACCACCTGAACCAATTCCCTAGACCCATGTATACTTATACAACATTAAGGAATATGGTATTCAATTATAAATCAAGAAAATAACACAATATACAAAATGGTAAATTTACACTACATTTAACACTTTAATAGCCAGTTATTCACTAAGAGTAGCCAGCTAGTTTCCTTTCCTCTCATCAGCAGGTCAAAATTAGGGAGAGTAGCAGATAGCCTTTATAGCTTTGTAAAAACAAAGATAGGGTGAGAAAGTTTAATGGTGATGGGAATCAAATCCAAGGCCATCAAAGTCAAATCATGAGGCACACCCCTCCAATTATGTAGTTTTGTGCTTAATAACAAACATGACAGCAATATTTTGATTACTTGGATAGTTGGAATAACCAAAAACAATAATAATTGGAAACACTAATTTTGACAAATTATTTTCATAATATTAATCAATTAATTTTAATTTCAATCTATTAGTTTATGATACACTAATCGATACTCATAGGAAATCCATTATATCTATTAATTCAACTATCTCTAATCAAAATTGCCACTTTAATCATAAACATTTTCTGAGTGAAGGCACACCATTGAAAGAACCCTTGTTTTTTGTTTTTTTGCCTGCTTTTTGGTGAGTTCACTTCTAATTTTGTCCTCATCCTCATAATATAGACTTTGCTTTCCAGTCCCTATATAGGATTTCCAACTTTTAGGAATTTGTTTGGGCAAGATTTGAATAGTAAAAGTTTAGCATGTAGTAACTATAAGGGCTACCCCAAAATCTTTATATTCAATGAAGCACAATGGTGCAATCTAGTGTATTTCCTGGATTAATGTGATGCTAAATTCAACACAGGTTCACCTGGTTAACCAATCATAATGTGTTATATAAAAATGCTAATTTGATCAAAACATATTTTCTACTAATTTGTACAAGCATGCAAATAGGCCCAGAGACACAGTCATAAACCACACTGAATGGAGTAGTCGAGTCTAACTGACCACAAAAACCCAAAACTGGATTTCAAGTTTATTACGTGTTATACAAATACATGTTCTACTGTAAATTATAATAGATTAATTACTTCTTCGATTATAGTAATAAATTATACCAATGTTATTGTTAATAGTACTAATATTACTAAGTAATAGTAATATCAAGCTAATATCAAACTTATAAAAATATAAGATAGTACTTACACTTTAGTAACTACTAATGACGTATAACTATAATGTTACTATAGGCTATAGTATATTGTTCGTATTTCTCATTAGTAATAGTAATACTAGAATAGAATACTACTAGTAGTGAATAATTTAAGAGTTTGACGCAAAAAATACCTTTCGAAGAAGCTACTGCAAGCACAAAGAAAACAATAATTCCAAGAGCGTTCATCTTTCTCAATCAATTATAACTTTTAGGTTCAGAAGAGATCTTTACTACGCCTCAAATCAAAACGTTCAAGTTTGAACAATAACACCCTAAACTATAGTTACCTAACGAGTGCTAAAAACAGAATTGCGTGATGTACAAAACCGAAAGAGTCACGTGCGGCACTTCAATTTTGTTATGAACCTCCCCATTTCATAATTAAAAACCGTATTTTGATTTTTAGACATCATTGTTCTCGCTTACAAACATATAAGTATAAAAATTTTAATTCTTGCGATTATGACTAGTGTACCTTTATTAATTAACAAATTTATTATGTTTAAGAAAGATTGAAGGGAGTAGACATATGTTAAAAGAATTAATAATATAAACTTTAATATATATTTATACATATAGTTACATCATTATATTTAAACAATAATTCTTACGTCAGTGTAAAGATATATTGCGAAAACGACCATAAACTTTTTTTATACAGTAAGAAATTAAGTAGTGATGTTTAATTATATATATTTATATCTATTTCCACGACTTTTTTGCCCCCTCCCAACAAATTTTAAATTCACAAGGGGCCACAAAATACAATTTCTAAATAATTATTTCTTTGTATTATTCACTGTTTGTGCGTGTATGTCTTTCATAGCTTTCAAGGGGGCTTTATTTTGTATTTCAAACTGAATCAGCCAACAGTATTCATTTTGCTTTATTTGATCTACTGAATAATAAGCATAACTGCTAATCTTACAAATTAAGTGGTTAGCACACAGAATCACCTACAAAAGTTGTAATATTTTCAAAACGAGACCCAAAACTCGAGCGTTTTCGAATAGTCGACTATTCTTCATATGTCCACAAACACAACCTGGCTTGGTTATTTGTTACTCACAAAACGCTCATTATGCACGTGAATTCCATCCACTGTGATTAAGGTGCAAGGGCGTTGCAGCTTTGGGATGTTACACGATTCGCTGACAGAAAAGACAGCTTTCTAGTCTAGTCATGAGGTATTTTACCTGCAAGGAAATGTGGTTAATTGACAAAGAAACTTGGTCCCAGGCATATCTAGAACCAGGAAAAGTTAGATGAGTTTAACTGAGCACATTTTTTTTTTGTCAAAACTGAACTGAAAACAACAACAAACAAACAGAATTTTTTGAAAATGTACATATTAGCTAAGAGGTACAAGCTCATGGTACCATCCTGTACCACACTTACTTCCTCCACTTTACTTCCAGGCACACTAGCTTTCCCCTAATTCTAATAGTACAAAACAAATCTTGTCCAACTTTAATTATGTGTCACTCAAGAAATCAAGGAAACTCGTTCTTGCTCAAGTAAAACCATTTGCCCAACAAATAACAAGCAATATAGTAAAAACAACTTTGCAATACAATGCAATAGAATAAAAAGAATGATTTATTTACCAACTCATTTAACCTCTTTAAAAGGAGGAAGTACAATAAGCTAAGTATCACAAGAATAGAACAAAGGAAATTTCTCAAAAACTAAGAAAATACATTAAACAACCATTTAATAAAGAAAATGCACATAAAATATAACGTTTGAGCAATTACATTATATATGCAAATACCCTTTAACATTCATCAACTGCAAGTAAAACGAAATCTCTTTAAAAAAAGCATTTCAACTTAAAATACATGAACTTATGTACGTTGTGAACATATTAAAACAAAATACTCTTTATACAGATATGTCTGTGGCTTAGCTGTATGTCTAAAGGCTTAAAGTCGGGTTTCAATACCTGTGGTGGGCAGAACACAAATAGTCCATCCTACAGCATTGGGCTTAACAACAAAAACATATAAAAACTCAGTATATTAAAAAAATGAACCGTTTAAAATACATGAATATAAAATGATGCAAAATACATTGGAGTTTAAAATACAGTAAAAGAACCTTTAAACTACAATACGCATAAAACAACTACCCAACATATGAATTAAATCATATACTTAAAGACATACTTAATTTAAAATCCTTAGTGCCAGGCACCCAAAAATATATACACATACAGAAAATAAAACCCTAGGTTATGACAACAACAACAACAAATCAGAATGATCCTTAGAAAGGAAAAAAATAACTTTACATTTATACACTATTCACACATATATACTAAAAATATACATATACACAGCGTGGTCACAAGTAAATAGACACCACCTTTTCATATTCACAAGAATTGATATATTTATAATTTGATTAATATCTAGTAGAT